AGACCCTGAGGAGATGCTCTATAGGCTGTGGATTGGGATGAATGATATTGGGGTGTATTCACTGGTTATGGGGAGCAATCATGCATTGATCATGGATGGTGGATTAGGTATGGGTTCTATACAAGGACAGAGCAAGGAATTTCTTGCTCCAGAATGTGGATACATGTAACTACCACTATGGATATGAAAAAATTGATATGCTGTGTGTATATGATATCACTGAATGAGGCAATTCTGTATGCCCCAAATTCCTATTTCAACTTCTACCTCAATGGACTGTGCAATACCACAGAATGGAGCATATTCATCATGAGCTAGCATTGAGTGGGAATGCATTTTTCTTGTGCAATGCTCCAAGCATTGATAGCAGAGGTTCTAGGTGCACATATTGGGATCTTTGACTCTCATGGACTGTTCTAAGATATTCTTGATGACCCAGGAGCATACTTGAATGGGACTGCACCATTCAATGTGACAGAAGCAGTGTTGTCACATGTATTTCCACAGGAGGGTCAGACTGAGAGTCTACAGTGTATGATGGTGCTTGGGACAGATTGGGATAGTTATCTGTGGTAGGTGTATTGTACCATTTCAATTAATTTGAATGTGATCTAAGAACTTTCATCCAAAAAAAATTTAAAAGAAATTGGAATAATTGAGAAAAATTTGTTTCTGCCCTCAGATTTTTTTCACTGTGATGCATGATGTTTGAATTGAGTGAAATGGTACAGTATTCCATTTCTATGTTTTATTGCCTGGGTTGGACACATATGACTGGTGTAGATATGATAAACTGTATCTGAGTGAGCAGGCAGATAGGATCGTGGTGTCAGGGAGATTGTGAAAGTTGCGAGAGGGGAGGAGAGTAGATGGGCATTATGGCTCTCATGATGTGGGAGACATGAAGTTTGATAGCTGTACATGTAACAATATGAAAAGAGAAGATTTTAGAAATGAAGCATGGTAACATTCAGGCAAGGGCATCTATTGAGAACTCACATTACACCATCTGCTATTGCATTCCAGCTGTGAGTTGATACACAGAAGATATGTCTCTGGTAGCACATCAGGAAGTAGTATGCCTACCTTGCTGGGTTTGATTCCCATACAGAGAGATACAAGGAATACCACTAGGTTCATGCTTTAGTTTCTGCTAACCAGCTTAGAAAATTTAAAGAGTAAAAATAGTTGTCGAACAACTTGAATATTCTCTTGCTAAGAATTGAACATAGCTTGATTGTGTAATGGCCAGTGCAGTACCAAGGAGATGGGTTAATCTGAGGTCATCTCACTACCTATGGAAATCTTCAGCAGGAATGTAGCATGACTGCTGGGAGCCAATCATTTCTTTGTAAGCAAACAAGATAAAGCACAAAGTATTATATAGGCATACTAAAATCAGTGAAGAGCTCTTTTGGAATGGTAGGCCCTGAGGGTGGTGTCGAGGGAAGATCTGGTAGTGCATTAGTATTGCTTGATGACTATGGGTCAATTACAAGTCAGATGTATTAGGGATTCGAACCCAGACATTATGCCCTTGGCTGCTGGTGTGCTACCAGAGGCATATAGTCTTGCATACTCAGTGTTTTTGTGGATAGTCAGACCACACTGGTTGGGGATTATGTTTAATCCAATGCTGTTCATTGCCCTCAGGGCTGGATCCATAATATTGCATTTGATTAAAAAGAAATGCTTGTCTAATAATATAGTACCTCCCAGTTGGGTTTGGAACACAGCATGGTTATACCACTATTCTACCAAAAAATCATTTACCATGCAAGTGTTTACATTTACTTATCCAAGCAAGAAAGAAAGCATTCTGCTGCCATTCATGTTGGAGTTAGCCTGACAAATGTCTTTCACTGGCCCTCCCTACTACCTGACATTTTTCAAAGCAAGTTCTATCTCACTGAACTGGCTCCGACTGACTCATGGATTATAAAAAAAGCATTTTAAGAAGTTGGTGGACTAATTCTGTTCCTAGGTCTTGGAATGTAGCAACCATAGGGTCAAGATATTGTATGTCATTACATTGCACATAATATAACAAAAATAGGTTCTCATTTATTTACTCATAGTCAAATCCAGCAAGCAAGTTTAACTGCTCAAAGTGTTACCTCATCTCTTTCTCATCAACACATTGACAGTAAGAGCATCTAGGACAAGTGCTTATGTGAAGAAAAAATAAAACAGGATGGTGGAACATGTATGGGTACCTTGAGGAGCTGAACCCCAAGTGTCTTGCCATAGAAGACTTACCATTCACCCATATCTGAACATGAACATGCCATCCATTGCCACAGTTCTTATCATAATGCATCCTGCATCAATTGTGGATCAGTATGAAACTTATTGTATAAGCCAAATTATGAGTATATATTTTCCAGAATGAGTCACAAACATCTCCATGCAGTAGTAGGTCCTTTTTCCCATCCTTTAAAAAATTTGACATAACTAGAATTCATCAGTTGGGAGTTGAACTCAATGTATGCGCCATGTATAACTAGTATGCTATGCAAACCATAAATATTTGGGTTCACAGAATATAATCTACACTTCTACTAGGGTCCAGAATGGCATGACTCCTCATTGCTTGCTGTCAGCTTATTATCATCTTTTGAGGAGTTATTCATGTGTATTGTGATGAAGGTCCCAGATTTCAACCACTGCAAGGGCATTCTCCAAAATGAGTGCCATACCACATCAGCTGGCTGCTTGATATTCCACCATGCAGTTATTTGAGATAACAAAAAAGTTCACCTTAGTGAGTCAGACTCTATTTTCCTCTTAGGACTCAGATCCAGCTTCCATGCCAGCTGTGTCTATTCATCATAGAGTTGAGATACGAACAAAATATCATGCTTTATACCTCACTGCATGCATAAAGTACAGGAAAAATAGACTCACACTTGCAATGCTTATGCTCTCACTGGGAATCAAATCCAGCATTGCACAGTAACTCTCTTGGTTACTAGAAAGATAAGAGAAGGTGTGTTCATCAGCTCTTTCTCATTCACTTGAAGACTGTACATGACTCAACACCAGGAATCCAATGACTACATGATTCAGACTGGATAACTCTTGCAGATCTTGGTATACAGCAAGAGAATATGCTAGTATTGTTCTCAGACACTGGCCATTGACAAGATATGAGCACCAGGCAAGCAATAGGATAGACTTTTGCAAGGGTTTTCAGAAAACCAATACAATATGCTCATTGTGCATTAAAAAACAGAATACTTTGGGGTATTGATCTGCTTTCTTTTCCCCTTGATACCATCAGTCCAAGTTCTAGAATACACCTCCCTATCAATGATCCTTGCACAGTGGTAGTGCACATGTCTCACTCAGCATGCATGGGTTCAACTCCCAGTATGAGGATGATCCTAGAGATTGGTTTTTTGCTCATACCAAGGGTTTAGTGAAATTCAATTCATACATCTTGTGCTTGAACTTGTTGGGTTCAGCATCTATGACTTGAAAATTCTGGTTATTCTCTCTTATGCTTCAACATTTATTACTATTGTCTCACATGCAGAGGACAGTGATATGGTTGTGGATTGTGGAAATTATTGGACAGAGGACCTAGGTTTCCAGCTTGAGCATAAAAGGAAGAAAAACAAAAGTCAACATTCATATCACTACTTTCCCATTGGGATTTGAACCCAGTGTGATTATTATATCATGTCCTAACTGATACACTACCAGGGGCTTCCAGGAATCACAATCACACATGGTTAAAGTCTACTTACCATCTTTTCAACTGTGTCATGCAACAAAGGTCCCAGATTTTGAACAATACAGAGGACTATCAAAGGGAGGGCATTTTCCAAACAGGTGCATCTCATCAAACTCACCACAGCTGGCTGCTGAATATTCAACAGGTACTTGTTTAGCATTATCAAAAACTTTACTTCAGGTCTTTGTCTCAATTCTCTTACTAAGATTTGAACTTAGCTTCCATCACACCTCTACTAACCACTATATCACCACAGATTTGATATACCAATGAAATGATAAGCTTGGTTTGTACCTTGTTACATTGCCTGGATTATAAAGAAAATGTGGATCAGGAGTTACTCAGGCTCTTGCTAGGAATCAAACCCAGCTTGCATAGTAACCCTGTTGGTTACTAGAGATGTAATAGAAGGTGTTTCCTCAGTTCATTCTTGTTGACTTCTAAGACAACTTCAAGGCTGTACATGAGTCAACACTAGGAATTCAATGACTATGCATGTCTGTCATGGATAACTCTTGTGATCTCAGTACATGGCATCCAACATTCAGTCTCATAGAAAGAGAATATACTGGTTTGTTTTCAGACACCAACTGCTGAGAGAACAATGAAGGAAGATATGAATGCTGGACAAGCAACAGGACAAACATTGTCAAGAGTTTTCAGAGAATCAATACAAGTAACACATGTACTCATTCTACATTTAAAAAAACAGAATCACAGACATCATCATTGGTACCCTAAGGAATTGAACCCCAGGAAACCTTCTAGGGAAGACTCACTGTTGGACCATATCTAGATTCATGAAAGAGCATCAAAATAGAATGTGAATTTGAGGATATTAGCAATAGTTTTTGTTGGAGTTGCAAGTGTGCCTGTAGTTGGACCCTTATTTCTCCATGGACTTTTGTGTATTTACACTTCATTTTACTTCATTCTACCTATCTACATACATTTGCGCTGTCTACTGTACAGTATATATCCACCATAGTTGTACCTTGTGCCTCAGACGTGTCTCTCGCATTCCAAGTGCTTGTCTGAGGTGAGCTATCTTTTATTTACCTTGTTCTATACTTTACTTACATTTCACTCGTAGTTATCTTTTGTATAGGTGAATAGACATGTCTCTCACATTCCAAGTGCTTGTCTGAGTTATCTTTTGTATAGATATCTACATCGCACTCTAACAGGTCATTAGGCCCTGCATCTCACCCTGCTGCTGAATCCTGTTGCTGCTATTTTGACTCTGAGTCCCATCCCCATCATGTCTACCATCACTGCTGATTTTACCACACTGTCAAACATCCCAAAGCTACATGTATCGGGTATGAACTGGCTTATCTTTCACCACCGCTTTGAGATTGCTGTCAAATCCAAGGGCATCTGGGGCCATTTTGACGGTTCCGATCCTACTCCTCCTGGCCCTCAACAAGGCGATGATGCTGCTACTGCAGTGGCAGCTAGAGCTGAAGTTGTTGAGTGGCAGAAAAAGGAGAAGAAAGCATGTCACTACCTTGTTCAAAAGCTGGAGGACTCCACACTCACTGAGCTCCTTCGCTGTCCCACTGTCGAATGGATGTGGAATGTCCTGACTGAAAAGTTTACTGCCCTCAGTACCCACATCATTGCAGACATGCAGGCCAAGTTTGACAGCATGAAGTGTCTGAACAATGGCAACATTCGCACACACTTAGCTGAGCTTCACACCAAATATGAAGAGCTCTGCGGTGTTGGTGTTACCTTGTCAGACAATGAATATTCAACTTGTATTATCAGCTCCCTTCCCTACCATTATCAATGGTACCTTTCCACCATCACATCTGCTGCCAAAGCAGCTCTCTTTGCCAACAATGCTGCCCGTGCTGCAGCTGCAGCAGCTACTACCGCTTCTGGGAATCCCACCACCAGCTTTACCATCACCTCAGGATCACTAGCTACATCACAAGCTATATCTCTAGACCCTGCATATATCTTGCAACTCGCCGTTGAGGAGTATGACCAGGTTTGTTTGGGTAGAAAAGGATCCCAAGAAAAAGTGGCGGCAAAAGATACGGGTGTTGCACCTGCTGCGCCCTCTAGCAGTGGTGCAAAGTGGAAGGGGAAGGAGAAGTGACCAAAAGGGGTATGCTGGAACTGCGGAGGACGTGGGCATGTTCAATCGAAATGTCTGAGCCCTAAACTTTCGAAGGAGGGAAGTGAGAAAGGCAAATCTGACCAAAAGTCCTCCGGTTCTGTGAATGCCATTATGGACTGGGAGGATGATGGTGTCTGGGCAGCTATTGCTGCGCTGTCGAGTGCCGTTATGCTGCTGGGATTGCAACCGGGGCAGGGCTCAATTTTTGATGTGTCATCATTGTTTGATGATACGTGGGATGAGATTCCCGAGTTGAATCTGTTGTCAGCTTCCGAATTTGATGGGAGTGACAATGAATCCTTACCAGATCTAAAAGATGTCTCTGATAGCGAGGAGGAGAGCATGTTTGAATCTGATTCAGAGTGCTCTGGGCTTCCCAATCTCGAGTCCGTGTCAGACAGCAAGGATGAGTGGGAGGAGGAGGATGAGAGTGCTGAAGATGATGAAGATGATGTTGTGTGTCCAGCTGGATCTGCCCCCACTCCAAATTCTTCGATCTGTGCTGAACTATATAATTCTGGTTGCAGTCAGCATTTATCCCCTTATCATGATGAGTTTCTGACTTACAAAGAAATTCTGCCCAAACGGTTCACGACTGCAAACAAGCAAGATTTTAATGCTGTCAGTCAAGGGGACATTCTCGTTGATGTGCCTGATGGCACAGATACATCGAAGATACACCTAACTGAGGTGCTCTATTTCCCAGAGATTGGCTATACCCTCATATCTGTTGGCCGTCTAGACCAAGCTGGGTACACCCTGACATTTGGTCAGGGAAAGTGCCACATTGACGATCTGGATGGAAACCATGTCGGTGCCATCCCCTGCTCGCAAAAGGGCCTATACCATGTATTGCGTGAGTCAGGAGATAAAGGTGTTGTGAATGCAGCATCACCTGTCAAACTCTCTAAGACTGAACTACACTGGTTCCTAGGTCATATGTTCCTCACCACCACCAAGCATCTTGTCACCCATGGCTTCGTTACCAGCCTCCAACTCGAAAAAACCCCTTCTGGTGACCCCTTCTTCTGTGAAGCATGCATCTATGCAAAAACGAAGTGTCAGTCCATACCTAAGGTCTGAAAAGGCTGTGGAGCATCTACCTTTGGTCAGGAAGTGCATTCCGATGTCTGGGGCCCATCGCATGTTGAAACAATCAGTGGATGGAGATACTTCATCACCTTTATTGATGACTACTCCTGTCTGACACACCTTTATTTTCTTCGCAATAAATCGGACACCTTTGCCTCCTACAAAAAATTTGAGGCTTGGGTCAAGAATCACATGAAGGCTGATATCAGTACCATCCACTCTGACCAGGGTGGTGAATATCTGAGTAAGGAATTATCAATCACCTCGAAAATCATGGCACAACATCAAAACGTACCGTGCATGATACCCCAGAGGAAAATGGCATGGCCAAACATTGCAATGGTGTTGGACTTGAGCGCACACATGCCTTGCTTCACATGAGTGGGTTGCCAAATTTTCTATGGGGGGAGGCCCTCCGTCATGTTGTCTGGTTGAAAAATCGTACAACAACTAAGGCACTGCCAGATGGGAAGACGCCATACGAAATGCTCATGGATCAGAAACTGGATCTGTCGCAGGTTCACGAATGGGGCTGTGTGTGCTATGTGCATCAGGCACAAAACCAGTCCAAATTGGACCCGAGAGCAAAGGAGGCACAGTGGATTGGGATTGACGATGAGAGCCAGGGTTTTCGGATTTATTGGCCAGGGGAGTGGAAGGTTACTGTCGAATGGAACATCGTTTTTCGGAAGCCTGAAGTGACAGTTGAGGTTGACGATGAGCCTAAGAAGGATGTCATGGAGGAACTTGAGGGGGAGGATAAAGAGCAGTCAGTCAAGTCACCTCCTACTCCCAAAAATCTGCTGAACACACCTGTTACGCCTTCTCGAACCAACGACAGTGACCCTGAGCCATCGCCAACTCAGCCCAAGTCAAGGTGAAATATTCCTCATGCTGCCTGCCCTATGCAATACAAAAGCCGGGAGCTACACCCTGTCCAACCCCTTCATGATACCGCAAATCCAGTTGAAGAAGTTGAAGGCGAGCTTGAGTATTCCTTGGTTGCGGATTCTAGTGCAGCACTGGGTCTTGATCCATTGTCATTGGCTGAAGTGAAGCATCGTCCAGACTGGGATAGTTGGAAAGGTGCTATTGAGGAGGAAATCCATACCTTGGTAGAGGCTTGGACTTGGGAGATTGTTGAGGCACCGAAAGATGCAAATGTTGTGGGGTCAAAGTGGGTTTTTCAGTTAAAAAAGGATGCATTGGGGAGAGTGGTACGTTACAAGGCCAGGCTCATCACCCAGGGCTTCTTGCAGGTTGAAGGAGTGGACTACTTTGATACTTATGCCCCTGTTGCCAAGTTCACATCCATCCGGACGATCCTCGCCCTTGCTGCTTGACTAGATCTTGAAATCCATCAGATTGATATCAAAGGCGCATACCTCAATGGTGAACTCACCAATGATGAAAAGATATACATGCGACAGCCACCTGGTTTTCCCCTTCCCAACGCCACTGGCAAAGTACTTCATCTTCGCAAAACGATTTATGGCTTGAAGCAGAGCGGGCGTCGGTGGTACCAGGCATTCATGAGGATCTGTGATGAAACACTTGGCTTGAAATGGTGCAGCATAGACCAGGCAGTCTTTTATTGTCATGAGGGGGAGTCCATCATTGTATTGGCTGTCCACATTGATGATTGTACTATTGTTGCATCAAGTATCGAGTTGATGGCGGAAGTAAAAAAGAAAATTGGTATGCGCATTGAAGTTGTTGATATGGGACCTATCCACTGGCTTCTAGGCATCGAGATCAGTCGAGACCGTGAATGATGCACCATTTCTTTATCCCAGCGTTCCTACATCGAGTCCATAATCCGCTGTTTCTATCTTGAAGACCTCAAACCTCTGTCCACACCTATGAACCCCAGTGCAAACCTCTCGTCTGCCCAGTCTCCTGCTACCCTTGAGGACATCGCCAGCATGTGCAATATTCCATATTTGGAAGCCGTTGGATCCTTAATGTATGTGTCGCAAGATACAAGGCCAGATATCACATTTGCAGTGACCAAATTGTCCAAGTTCTTGCAAAATCCCGGTATGGCCCTTTGGGAGGCTGTCAAGCATGTTTTCAGGTACTTGAAGAGCACTCTTGAGTGGAAGCTAATGTTTGGTGAAGTGGAGAGGGAGCTAGCTGGATGGGTGGATGCAGATGGTAGTCAAGAAGAGGAATGGCGCATGATTTCGGGTTATGCTTACATCATCGATAGCAGTGCAGTCACATGGAGCTCAAAGCAGCAAGAACTCGTCATTCTTTCCACCACTGAGGGGGAGTAGATTGTGGCAACGCATGCTGCCAAGGAAGGCCTATGGCTTCGCTCACTCATTTCTGAAGTCTTTGGTTCCCTTATTGATGGTCCTACAATGCTATTCTCTGACAATCAGTCTGCGATTTCCCTTGCCAAGGAACACCACTATCATGTGCACACCAAGCATATTGACATCCAGTATCACTTCATTCGCTGGATCATCGAAAACGGATCCATGCATCTTATCTACTGCCCCACCGATGATATGATCACCGATACCCTTACCAAGCCGTTGGCCAGCACCAAGGCAAAACACTTCATGAAGGAATTGGGACTACGTGCCGCTTGAGGGAGAGTGTTGGAGTTGCAAGTGTGCCTGTAGTCAGACCCTTATTTCTCCATGGACTTATGCGTATTTACACTTCATTTTACTTCATTCTACCTATCTACATACATTTGCGCTGTCTACTGTACAGTATATATCCACCATAGTTGTACCTTGTGCCTCAGACGTGTCTCTCACATTCCAAGTGCTTGTCTGAGGTGAGCTATCTTTTATTTACCTTGTTCTATACTTTACTTACATTTCACTCATAGTTATCTTTTGTATAGGTGAATAGACGTGTCTCTCACATTCCAAGTGCTTGTCTGAGTTATCTTTTGTATAGATATCTACATCACACTCTAACAGTTTTACCATTTCATGGTGGGTATTATTATGAGTAGCCCACAATGTATCCTGTATGGAATGTGGACCAGCCTGACATTGGGAGAATTAGGGAACTTTGGCAGTCCTCTTGATGTTACAGCTTGGCAATGTGTTTCCAGGGTGGGGCAGGTGATCCTAGGTAGGAGTAGATCTTCCTGTTAGAACTCCTTTCATGTGGATGTGCTCAGCACTGTAGCCTGACCAACTTTTCTTAAGACAAATGAAAACAATCATTTTAAGATAAGTTGAGATAGGATCATCTGAAGTACAACATAAGATGTACTTTTAAATATATATCTATGGTACTCAACACCAGCATCTTAAGACATCTTAAGTCTCCCTATCTGAGATCCCTATCTTAAGTCCACACCTTAAGTTAGAGATCTTAAGCCAACTTAAGATACCTTACACTCTGAGAAAGGCTATCATCTCTCCACCTGTTCACCAGTCCCTATCACCTTATCATCAGATCACACAGTCATAGGCACATACATTGTGGCCTTGCCATTATGGACATACATCAGATGGTCTGCGAGAAGCTTCCCTTCAGGCTGGTAAAGAATGTGAGAATATCTGGCCTCCTTGAAACATTGTCGTGTCCTCTTGATCATATCTTTAAGCATGGCAGCATGCTCTCTAGCATATGTGATGTAACCAATTTTTGATAGGTCTCTGGCTTGAATCAATTCTGCTGCGCTAATGTTAGCAACCAACTCTTCAAACAAGGTCAAACAAGAGAATGCCACTCGCACTTCAGTGGTCACTCACAATGTCTGCATTGCCTGCTGTGACAAGCAGATAACTAGCTTAGATAGTTGCAGAGCGAGGAGCAGGTAGACTTGGGTGGATTAAACCTTAGCTGAAGCTGGGGTTTAGGCCAGCTGAGGCTCTACTTAAATACAGTTCTGGTATGCTAATAATAGTACACTACAGAATGGTAACCATGCATGAAACAAAGGGAATCGTATGATGTCCATGTGTCACAGCTACAACGTGAGAGTCGAGCGTTGACAATGTGTGAAATGTCCTAGCGCTTAGATGCACTGATAAGATAAAGATAAGCGCTAAAGAAAAGAGAATGAAAAAATAAGGCAAAATCGTAACAGCTAAGCCAACTGTTCTTCTGAGCTTTGAAGCTTTGCAGAACTCACAGAAACTCAGCCTGCTTGATTTCATAATGCTTCCACTATCACAGCATTTCTGCTTCAGCATGGAACCATTGTACACGATTTCCTGGGAAGACAATTAGAGCACATAACATCCATAATGCAATACCTGTACCTTCATAAATCCAAGCTTGGAGATCGGCGGTGTTGATGTTACTGCACTCATGGAGCTCATATATCCAAGATGACTTGACCTCTTTGTTAATGTCATTAATATCAGTCACATCATCACTAGGCTTGACGGTTTCATTTTCTTGTATAGACTAATGTCAGCATTGATCAAGAACTGTATCAATACAATACTTACCTTTTATTGCTACCTTTGTGTTTGTTTTCTTCCTAGTCTTCTCATTTAGCTTTTTTGGTCATTTACCAGATGGTGGTGGTGCAAAGCCCATATCATTGACATCTCATATATGTTTGTGCATCCCCTGCAGAGCCAGACCTTTAGCAGATGACTGGATAGAGGCTTTCCAGAACCAGGTGTATGCCATGCCATCAACAATCCTTGATGTGTCAGGGTGGCAATATTCATCCACAGATTTCCTGGCTGTGTCCTCCTTTTTAAGCCTGGAAAGGCCTTTCATCTGAGTATTGACATTGTCCATGGTACCCATCACCAGGAGAGCATTTTGATGAGCATTCCAATCTGCTATACCAAGATTCTGTTGAAATTTCACTTGGCATAATTTTTCCTGAGCCTTTGTATTGGGTTTGTAGCCATGAATGTTCTTGCTTTTGTCATACCCAAGTGCTTGCAGCTGGTCTGCCACTAAGAGAACAGCATGCAAGGAGTAAAATGCTGCCCCCTCCTGCAGTGTAGTTTCATACTCCAAGAGTGGCTTCAGTTATGCTTTATCATCCTCCTGTGACAATGATGATGGCAGACCAAGTGGCCATGCTTCAGCATTACTTGGTGTGAACTTTTTCTTTTTCTTCTTCTTCGTCAACTTTGTAGGTATTTCTTCTGAATCGTTCTCAGCAGGTAAGGAAAACTTGGATGCTATGCCCATGAACTTGAGTCTTAGCTCAAACCAGTGCCTGATGGATTTTTCTAGCGAAGTACGCTTGTGCTTGATCATTTCTTGGTCAGTCTTGTTAGGATAAGCCTTCTCTTTTTCGATTAGCATTTGGAGATGATGCCTATTGCATACAAGGAATGTCAGTAGCATAATGAAACCCATTAAAAAAGTGCATACTGTTGTTGCTCAAGGTTTATACTCTCGCTTATGAATTCTGCTGCCTCATCAGAATTGGCACCTATTGCGACTAGTTTGCAAGGGTTTAACAAGAGTGTTTCAATTGTGCCATCCATAGATGATACTACAAAAAGGTGAATGAGATCCTTCATGTTTTAATGGCCTGGTTCAATGAATGGTCATACCTTTCTGCTTGTGGTGCCAATATGGGCTGACATAGCCTTTATCTGCACCAGTCCTGGAGCCTTGCACAGGCAGCTCCCGAGGTAGCTTCTCCCAACTCTGGACTTGTTCTGCAGGTAAGCTTGCCACCAGATGATGAAAATAGCTTTCATGTTGTGTGAGCTGCTTCCATGCATACAATATATCCTTTGTAAGTTCATGAGCTGTATAATAAAGTGAGTTATGTGCTCCAAACCCATGAAAATGTCCAGCCAACACATATGAATATTAATGAGCTTGCAGTAATTCCAATCATTTGCTTGATGGAAGTATATCTTGTGTCCATGTTCAAGGTTCATCTGATGAATCTGGGGATCCAGACCATTGGAAAAGGCCCAAAACTGCTTGGCTGTTTTGCCATGGAAATGACTGATGCAAAAGAGATATATCAGATTGAAGTCTTCATTGCACTTATTGTGGTGCCCTTGATGTGACAAAGGGGAATCATCTTGATAGATCATACAGCATAGTCTTTCAAAGCCCGGAGTGCCTGTGCCTCGAAATGTTCTGCAATGTGTACACAGTACTGACAGTTAATGTCATATGAAAAGACAATGTCAACACTGTTCTTTTGATCTGAGGCCAGATTAGCAAGCTGCAGAGCATGATGAAGTGCATGATCCATCATTTGTTGGCTGATAATATCAGAAATTATTGGTGGTACAGATGATGAAGAAAAAGATACATACTCCTCTCCTTTCAAAAAGTCAGCTGTAGCTCTGACAAAGACATGACTGCATTGCACTTGGGCAACTCCTGTGTACTCACAATTTTAGAATCGAGCATTCTGACTGGTAACGGCCTTATGATTGTTGCATGGCACTTCCAAGGAAGAATCTTACCAGCCTCCCAAACCTGCTGTGAAGAATGTACATTGAAAAACAAGCTCATCCAAGCAGAAGCAAGTCAAGAACAAGTCCAATGCAGTCAAAGGCCTTGACGAAGTGTGTGAAGAGGATGAAACTGACAAGGTGAACCCCCAGAAGCATGTCATGAAGAGTCACCAGCCCAAAGTGAAACCCACAACTGCTGTAGTTCTTGAAATACACTGAGGAGGATGTGACCACAAAGCATCAACAAGAATCACATCTGTGAACAAGATTGGCAAGTCACCCATGAAGCCTGCATCCTCAAAGAAACATGCAAGAAAACTTGATGACAAGTCAGAACAGCCAAAGGGCAAGAAAGTGAAGTAATGTTTCTGCATTACTGAAAATTTCATGAAGGTAATGACTTGGTTTCATGGCAGAGCATAAGATCAGCAGTTCTAATACATAAATTCATGTATATTTTGATGCAATGGTATATTTGTCATTATTCTAGGGTATCTCTCAAGCCAATCTCAAGTTGATCTCATACTGCCAGTAAGTGGTTATTTCATGTCACTTAATTCACTTTGTAGTGTGGCTTAATACGATCTTAAGACACCTGCTTAAGGTGTGATGCAATGGTACTCAAGATTGACTTAATCCAATCTTACCTCAACTTAATTCACCTCATAGTATGGCTTAATACGATCTTAAGACACCTACTTAAGATGCAAAATTGGATGTACATGCAATGATACTCAAGATGGACTTAATCCAATCTTGTCTCAACTTATCTCAAAATGATTTTATTCATCTAATCTCAAGATAATTTTGTCAGGTTTTATCTCAGTAACGGCGAGTGACAAAAGACAAGTGAATGGATATGAACACCACAACACCAAAACTCTCTACTACTCTACACAGATCACCAATTATATTGAGTTCAGGTGTTTCAAGTATGATAGAAGCACTCTGCAGACTTCAATAAATCAGGGAAAGGTTGTTTAAAGATGTATATTTGGTACTAGTGAGCTACACAAGATGTAATACTCGCACTAGCAGAGTTTTAAAACATGATTGGATGAATAGTGACTTGGGTTGAGCAACTGCACTCGGTCTAACTCTGATACTTCGAAACTAGTGGCACTCTGGGCCAAATACTGGGTCTCACAAGTGGTCTACACTTGACTAGCAGCACCCTAGGCTCGACTAGTGGCACTCTTGGCCTAAGAACAAATACTTTAACTAACTTCGAAACACTCTGAGTCACTCCAAGGCGAAATAGCAACTTTAAGACACTTCAATTCATTCAATACTATAGGTGACTAAGCGACTAGTAGACACTTCATCGAGGTTAAGTGCAAAAGCCTTTAATTGGGGCACTAGAATACTGACTAGTAGGTCACAATTGTGGGGATGGCTTGCTAGGCTGCCCCTTCTACTACTTATATACTATGGAGCAAGGTACAGGATAAATATAAATAGATTCATAGGAGTAATATTGGTAAGAATATCTTGGCTAGTCATGAATAATGGTGAATAGTCATGCCATAGTCAGCCTAGGCTGGTCTTTCTGTTGGATAGCAGGTCTAGGGACTCCACTATTGGTCTTTCCATACCCTTTGCCCCACCATGCTCCACTAGCGACATGGCTAAATGAATAGTCAGGTAACTGTGCCTGTAGCAACTGCTCGATCATGATCAGAATGCAGCCCAGCTATACTAGTACTGATCATATTAGATCTGTATCGCACTAGCTGGATCTGGGCTAAGGGTTATGTCTTTACTCATTCATTTCTAAGTCCCATTGGAAGTGCTCATGTGACTAGCTATTCTTGACTTAGATGTTCATGCCCAGATTGGTCCACTAGTGACTGAATGGTCGAGGTCTGTGTGGGTTCTTGCTTCTTGTTTGGGTGCTAGCAGCTGCACTCATTACTAGTGACCGTATTTTACTGAGTCTCACTAGTTCAGGGGCACTAGTCTGGTCAGCTAGTAGGTCTGACCCACTATTAGTGTCATTCCTAAGTCCTGACTTGACTAGTAGCATGCTAACTTGACTATCAGTTCGAAGCCTCAACTATAGCCCTTGTTGTTTAACTAGTATTGGATAGACATGCAATAGTATTGTTATAAAATCACAAAATCTAGGTGTGAATATGTAGATGGCATATCAGCACTACCAGGGAGGGAGCAGTGGGGATTATGCAGTATTGGGATGTGGACATGCATAACATCAGCACAATCATTGTCCTCACTTCTATTGCTAAACCAACAAAGAAGTATATGTGGACATGCAATGAAGGATGACCTCTTGTGGTGGTATGGATGGCTACAATTGTGTCCTGCCATTGGACAGCCCTGTAGGTCGATATTTCTTCTTTCGCTACTGTATGAAAGGTGGATGTTTGCATGCAGAAATGAGCTGAGAGGTGTGTACATGATGGGATAGCATGGAGACAACATAGTGTACAGGAAATTGGGAGAATCAGTAAGTTCTGACTATTCTGTATTCACTCCAATACCCACATTATATTCTGACATGCACACCAACAAAGGACTGAGTCTTGAATCAAGCAAGGGGCTACTGGAATTCCAGCCCAGAACATGGGGTAGGTAGCTAGGTTGGGCCAACAGGCCTGAAAAAAAAAGTTGACCTCACTCTGGAGGGCATCAAAATGCCTTCCTAATGTAAATAGTCAATAAATCTATATACCAGTAAGTAATACAAAGTGCCTTTGATGTTTATCGTACCTTGGCTACTTGTTTGCGACACCACATTGAAATGGACTGGGCCTTGATGACACTGCCACTATGAGTCAGTTCATATGATATTGTACATCCAAATTTGTTGCACAGGAGAAAAGCAGTTAAATTGTCCTCAAAATGATACTTAGTTGATTACTAGAGTATAAATGTGACTAAATTTGTCATTTTCTCCCTCAAATTAGCTCAATTTGGAAGGTATGATGTCATTTTGGTCACATGGAGGTAGGTAGGTCCACCAGAAGGGCACAAAATTTTTTACAGTGCTTCCGAAAAATAATGGGAATGGCAGAAAATGGTATCATCAGTTACATCGACCAATTAGTCTGATATATTTACTCAGTTTGGTCATAACCCTTCGACACATTTGGTGACATCTCTTCTTCTTAGACAGCTCAGGGGCTAATGGTTCAACAATGTATATACTCAAAAGAGTATTTACAAGGTGGTTTCACACAGCAAACATGACAATGTCATTTCTGTCAATTCTCATTATTTTCCGGAAGCACTGTAATCAACCCACTGTCTTTTTATTTCATAATGGTAGCCCCTTGGAATCAAGAGGCCATAGAACATTTTCCTGCTGTTTTTAATCAGCCCAAGATATAGAGAATGAGCCAGGTAGAATGACATGCTAGAGTACAAAAATGTGGGTGCTTGCTTATAGTGCCAGTGATGGCAAAAGGTGAAACCAGGATCATAGCAGAGGATGAGTCCCTCCAAGGATATGGCTCTACAGTATATGGCGCAGTCTTATCCTCTTCATGTTTGAAATGGTTAAGGTAACAGAGGCCACCAATATTGATGAGGGGCTGTGTAGGGAACTGTGATTGTAGCAGAAGATAGAAGAGGGCATGGAAATACAGTGAGTGTACAGAAGGTTGAATTCATATGTGTTGAAGGAAATCAATTCTGAGTGTGATGTGACTGACCACCAAGTCTCTGACACAGTGATGAGTCAGTCACCTCCTGGCATTCCAGCAGTATCCAGAATAACCATTGAACTCGATAACTCATGCATAGAAAGCTGGAGAAGGTACTCAGAGGACTAATGCTTAGTAAAGTAGAAAGTTCTAGAATAATTTCAAACTGTATAAATATGAGTAGAGTCTCTGCAGGAGACAGTAATTAATCCTCTTTCTTCATAACTTGCCCTCTAGTCTTTACAATAGGTTATAGGCCCTGGCCCTAACAGAAAACCTACTTGATTACTTACTACTACACATATAACCCCTATTCATGTAGAGCCAACTTTGAACACCTAGTGACTTATTACATACAGTATCTTTGAGGTGTTTATAGTAGGAAACACCTGCAGAACAAAGGAAAGACCAGGTATTTCTCACCATAAACACCACAAGAAACACCAATCATAACACATGGTGTTGTTGCTTGGGTATTTCTGGGACAAAGAACACTTTGGAAACACATGTATGAAATACAACATGTCATTTACACAAAAACACAGGCGAGGAAACATGGACCAAATGATGTCATGTACTTATTTGGGTATTTTACTGCAAAAACACTGGCATGAATATGAAAATAGGAATGGTAGGAAAAACTGATAGTATTTCTTCATGTAATTACAATCTGGTGTTTACTTGCAGAAACATCTACACAAATACATGCTGGTGTTTACCTGTCATCTTTGAGGCAGAAACACTGACACATCCCAGCAGTGAATAAACACTGCAGACCTTCAAGACTCATACAAATTAATTTCATGAGTACTACAGGAGGATATATGGTGAAGTGACAAAAATCCTGAGGCAGACACAGCTCTAGCAGCCTGATCACAGAAGAAGAAGTACAATCTGAATATCACCTGTTTTGGATGTGGAAAATGTGGCCATGTGGTGGCTGATTGTCAATCAGGGAAGGATGATGCTGGAAAATCAAAATGGAAAGGGAATTCCAAATGGAAGGGCAAGGATCAAACCTATGCCAATATTGCAAATAAAGAGTTCAAAAATGATTTTGCCTTCATTGCAAATGATCTAGCATTTGCTGCCTTAGACTCATCCTTATGGTTGGCTGATTCAGCTTG